CGGCTTATTGTATCAGAACTCGTGAATTCCAAAGGTGTAGTAGGCTGGGTGGATAAATTGTCCCAAAGTTAATTAACTTGTCGTCTCCCTGTGCGGCCTATTAGCTCAGGTGCATAAAATAGCAGCCTTACCTTTGCTGTATTGTGTTCGAATCCCACCGAAACCGCCAATTTTTACAATTTGTTCAAATGAGTTAAAGAGATGATCGCTACTGAATATTTTCAAGTAGCTGAATCACTTAATAAAAGCGTTTTTAAATTCTTCATATAACTTTATTTTGAGAGTCTTACGAGATTCATGGGCATGTAAACTCCCTAAATAAAGTACTGCTTCAACCCAACCGAAAACAACAAACCAAAGGCTGTTAAAGCGGGCTAGCTAGCTAGCGCCAACACGCTTTCTGATCCCAAGACATCCCTCTAAGGTTAAAACTCGTCTGAAGAATATGCCTGTTTTTTTTTAGTTCTGGTAGCCTGCGCTCTGTTGACATGGCAAGTCGTATAACATTTCCCGGCGAAGGCGGATCAGACTCAAGGACTGTGCGTAGCCCTCCTTCTAGGACCTCAAAAGGTGCCCCACTGCTTACTTTTCTTGTTTCTGGCATTTTAAAGTTTCCATCTGTATTGGTCCAACAGTTATTATCTCATAAAGTGCTTTTAATAACTCCAATGGTATTCGGCCCAACTGAATATAAAATCCGATGCCTTACAGGAGTCACGCAACAACGTGAATTCCAGCAGTATCGAAAACCCCAGGCCTCGCTGCGTGTTCTGCCTTCATTTATGACAATAAAAGGCGCCACAGGACCATCTCAGTCTCCCAATAGCTTGCTGCATGTAACTTTCCATTTAGAGAACGCGTCATAATATAGTATGAGCTTTAACACCCAGTCTAGTAGGGTGACTTTCTTCATTAGAGAACGTGATCGTGTTAGTGGAAGTAGGATTTAGGATTTGGCATATAAAACCCACATCCAAAGCCTTGACTTAGGTTCTTCTTAAGAGCAAATATTTCAGCAAGATTCCAGTCCTAATAGGATTGTTAATTTAAATAAAGGTTGTTTTTGAGCCTATGATCAGCAGCCCAAACAGTACTACGAAAAGTAGGGAAAACGCCTCCTAGACAAACTATCTTGGATTCAGTTCATGTCGGCTACACCATGTTCATCTTCAATCGGCTGAGGAAGTACCGCTCCGAGACCGTTTAAATGTGTGGTGTTCAAAATCATTTTACGTTTTAACTGAACTCTAGCTCCAGTTCTCGATAAGTTCCCTCCTCAGTGATGTGAGCTTCCGCCTACTTTCGATAATAATTAGTTTCCGTCAAAAAAAGTTTGAGGAATACCACTGATGAATCGAACCAGCCGCAGATGTGTCATCCGGTGTGTCCGGTTTTGGGCGACACACATGTATGGCTTATGTGTAGTGGAGATGTAATATGCACCGTCAGCTGTCGTCTTTTTACTATCTTTTACGTGATTATACCGCTCTCGATGATGAACTTCAGCCCACATGTCCATACCGCATTTTGGGCTTCACCTATAACGCTGGTTTCGAACTGACTGACACCAAGGTGGCGATCAATGCACAGAGAAACCAGTAAACGACAATTTTAGAACTGAAAAGTCGTATTGGCAAACAAGTGTTATCGGTCATTCATCATCAAGCCGGTACAATGACATGGAGAAGAAAAGGGTCAGTTATGGGCACTGGTTATGTGATCCTCGGGGTAGGCGGGGGGGGAGTGTAATGATTCATCTCTGTGTTTCCTCGTCTCATGCATGCTGGCGCCAGCGTGTTGAGGACGTTGGGTGCGACGCACAGGGGTGAGGGGGTATGTTCTCACGGTCGGTGGTTTGGAGTCTGTACATCAGACGTGCGGTGTGTGTTTGACTACCCTTTGTGGCTTCGTGTGGCGTAGTTTCGGGTGGCGTGGATTTGAGCGATGTGATTTCAAACGGTGTGGAATTTTCACCTGTAGTCGGCCAAGGGAGGTAAACTGCTTGCACTAGCGTTTTTTGACAGCAGAGTGGGTTTCGCTAAACGGAGTGCCACTGCTCCGACTCTTGCTAGTACCTTAAAAGTAGTGTCGGTGCCTGGTATATTGACTGAAAGGCCTCTCTCGCGTGAGCTTGATGGTTCTTATCGATTAAGTCGGCGAGGATTGAACTTAAAATCGATCGATTCTCTCCTTTGCCGAGCCAGGCGGTCTTTACTCTCCCTCCCCACCTCATTCGTAGAAGGAGCGAGTTGCTGAAGAATACGCGTAAGTTTGCCGCCGGGAATGCAGTCGTGACTGCCGTCCTTAGACGTCGTCTTACCAGTTCGCCTGCTGTGTCGCCTAGACGCAGTACCAGAAAGCACACTGTGAATACTGATGCACCCATTGACAAGCCAAACCACTCATAGTGGTGTCATGAAGTGCCTAAATGCGTGTCTGGGTTTTTATCGAGTATTTGGTTTGCTACCATGGTGTATCGTACAACTTCTAAATAGAGCTCTTTGTATTAGGTTTTTCCGATGTCTCACCTCTTCTCATTATTCCTCAGGATGAATAACGTTATCCAAATATTGAAATTGACCTGCATCGCGGGCAAGGAGCCCCAGAGTGCTTTAAATCCGCTTATTCTGTACAATGAATTATTTGTCACAAAATATGCCGCAAGTCCCATTTACCTATGTTTATATTGTTTTAGGTTCCCCGAAAGACGACAGTTCCCAGCCTGGTGCCTGAACGGGGAACATTGCATTCTATGAACGAAGAGATCAACCATATTCACCGCGTGAACGAGTGTACTTTTACTTATGGAATCTCTTTAACTAAAAAGGATAATATCTTGTCGGTTTTATAAAGGTGGTCACATTGTGCCTTTTTCGGAGATAAAAATTCTTTTAAAATTCCGATCTTTTGTCTGGGACACAAATAGTTTTTTTCTGGTTACGGCTAGGATAAATAAAAACAGACTCTGAAGTAAATTAAACGTGCGAGCCAACAACGTTCTGCTAGAACCATTGGGAGTGTTTGATACCACGTTAACTTGAGGATTTTGGAAATAAGGTGTCATCTTGGGGGCCGGTTTTGTCAAAGTGAGGCACGATTAAGCCATAGGAGAACGCCTTAAATCCTTGTAGATAACAGTGTAAGCGAATAAAATTTTATCACGTTCGCCGTATTCTTGCACAACTAGCGCTCTCACCGAAAATTACATCAGTCGGGCCTGCAAATTGATTCAGTTCAGTTCAGTTCAGTTTTATTAGGGAAATATAGGTAAATAC